TAGGATCCCCCCTGAACCTTCTCTTCTGCAGGCTGAACAGTCCCAACTCTCTCAGTCTCTCCTCCTATGAGAGAGGCTCCAGTCCCTTAAGCCTCTTTGTGGCCCTTCACTGGCCTTGCTCCAGCAGGTCCATGTCTTTCTTGTACTGGGGAGCCCAGCACTGGATCCAGCACTTCCGATGTGGCCTCACCAGTGCTGAGTAGAGGGGAACTCAGCCCTCGTCCTGCTGGCAACCGTCTTCCTAATGCAGCCCCGGATACTGCTGGCCTTCTTTATCACAAGCGCACAATGTTCAACTTGTCCATCAGGACCCCCAAGTCCTTCTCTGCAAACCTGCTCTTGAGCTGATTGGCGCCCCAGCCTGTACTTGTGCATGGGGATATTCCTCCCCAGGTGAAGGCCTTTGCATTTTTCTTTTATTGAACTTCATGAAGTTCCTCCCTGCCCATTTCTCCAGCTTGTCAAGGTCCCTCTGAACCATCTGCTGTATCAGCTACTCCTACCAGTTTTGTATCATCTCCAAACTTGCTGAGAGTGCATTTGGTCCCAACATCCAGGTCATTACTGAAGATGTTAAATGGCACTGGCCCCAGTATCAACCCCTGGGGGACACCACTTGTGGCTGGCCTCCAGCTGGACTTCATGCCTCTGATCACAGCCATCTGAGCCTAGCTGTTCACCCAGTTTTCCATCCACCTCACTGTCCACATCTCTCGCCCGTACTTCATCAGCTTGTCTATGAGGATGTTATGGGAGATAGCGTTAAAAACCTTAATGAAGTCAAGGAAGATAACATCCACTGTTCTCCCCCTCATCCACCAAGCCAGCTGTGTCATCACAGAAGGCTGTCAGGTTGGTTAATGGGGTTTTAGCTCTCCTAACCCCATTCCTGCATGCTTAGATAGTGTCTCTATATTTATCCCGGGTTGTCTGTCCCTGCTTCCACCTCTCGTACACTTCTTTTGCATGTCTGAATGCTCAGACATGTCAGGAGCTCCTTGTTCCTCCACGTAGGCCTCCTGCCACCTCTGCTTGATTTCCTGCTTCTTGGGATGGGCCATTCTTGAGCTTGGAGGAGGTGATTCTTAAATACTAACCAGCTCTCTTGGACCCCTTTTCGCTCCAGGGCTACATCCCATGGGTTTCTTCTAAGCAGGTCCCTGAACAGGCCAAAATCTGCTCTATTGAAGTCCATGGTTGTGATCCTGCTTTTTGCCCTGCTCCCTCCTGAACTCTGAGGATCCTGAGGATCCTGAACTCTATCATTTCATGGTTGCTGCAGGCAAGGCTGCCCCCGACTTTCACATCCCCGACCATTTCTTCCTTGTTTGTAAGTATGAGGTCCAGCCTCTCCTCACTGGCTCCGTGAACACCAGTGTTAGGAAGTTGTCACCAACACATTCTAGAAGCCTCCCAGATAGCTTGTGCCCTGCTATGTCGTCTCTCCAGCAGATATTAGGGTGTTTAAGTCCCCCATGAGGACAGGACCTGCAAACATGAAACTTCCACGTGTCTGAAGATGGCCTCATCTACTTCTTCCTGACCAGGTGATCTGTAGCAGACACCCACTACAACGTCACCTACGTTGGGCTGCCCGCTAATCCTGACCAACAAGCTCTCAGCTGCCCCTCACCTGCCCCCCAGGCAGAGCTCCATGCTCCAGTTGCTCTTTCATATAAAGGGTGACTCCAACTCCTTGCCTTTCCGCCCTGTCCTTCCTAAGGAGCCTGTTTCCATCCATCACAGCACTACAGTCGTGTGAGCTACCTTACCACATCTCTGCAATCCCAGTGAGACTGTTGCCCTATAACTGCATACAGACTTCTTTTGCACAGAACAGAAGCTCCAACAGCATTGGAAAAAAAAAGCAGCTTCCCCTTGAGGTGAAGGTGGCCCCGTCACCCTCTTCCCATGGCTCCAGAACAGCCTGGTGACAGTGTGTGGTGTAGGGGCTGTTGCAGTTACACAGGCATGTATTTAGCTTTACCTTTCAGAAATAGCAGAAAGTTTTATTCAGAAATGTAACATTTACTTGGCAAAATTAAGCTCTCAAGAACCTGGAAATGTTAAAATTTAAAGCTGTTCTTGCATCTTAAGTACATACGAACAGCCATCTTGGGTCAGGCCAAACGTTTTTCTAGCCCGACGTCTTACCTCTGATAGTAGCCAATAGCAGACACCTAGGCAAGCACGTAGCAGTAATGCCACAAGATACTCTCCCAGCTTTCAGTGCTTGGCAGCTCAGGAACTACCTGCACTAGAGACGGGGTCTTAGTATTTGATAGTTATCAATGTTTTTTCAGTCCATTACATTGTATCACTTCTTGAGACTATAAATTTTTACAATGTGGAAAGGAGTTCCATGGTATAAGTATATGTTGTAAGAGGTACGTCTTCTACTTATGTTGAACCTGCCACCTGCTATTTTTGAATCACGTGGCCTAGTTCTTATTCTGAAGGAGACATTGAACAATCATTTCTTTTCATCTTGTCCAGGTAATTTAGCATTTTATAAATGTCTAGTCTATCCTTTGCATCTTTCCTAAGCTGATGAGTCACAGGTATTTCCTGTAGGGAAGCTATTCCATTTCTTCTATCATTCCTATTGCTCTTCTCTGCTCCATAGATCTACGTTAGCTTCCAGAGAGGGAGAAATCAGAACTCTGCACAGTATTTCTGAGGTGGGCACACCAGAGATGCATACAGAGGGACAGCAGTGTTGAAGGGTTTCATTTTGTACTCTGCTCCTTTCCTAACAATTCCAACATTTGGTTTTCAGTCTTGAGAGCCACTAAGCATTGAGCTTATACTGTCACAGAATTGTTATTACACTGGGAATGAGTTGTGAACTGGTAACCCTCAACTCAGAGCCTAATATTATATTTGAAAGGTAAGGACTGTTTTGTCCTTTGTGTATCACTTTACATGCACATCTACATTAATTTCCTTCACCATTTTATCAGCAGCTATTCAATGTCATGAAAACCTTCTGCAACTCTTCACAGTCAGTCCTCTTACTTTACTACTCTAAAGAAGTCATTACCAGCAAGCTTTGTCTCACTCTTCATTCCTTTTCCAGATCATTTTTGAGTAAGTTGACAGGCTGAGATGCTTGCAAGAATCCACTGGTAACCCTTTTCCATTACAGACATAACCGTTCATTGCTACCTTCTGTTAGTTACTCATGGATGAGAAGAGTTTCTGTATAAATTCAGAGCTGCTTAGTTTCTTTGGGAGTTTTTGGCATGGGATCTTGTTGGATGCCTATTAAAAATCCAAGAATATAACATCAGCTAGATCTCCCTGTTGATATACTTATTGACATTTTAAATGACTCTAGTACATTTGTAAGACATCACTCTTCCCCCATATATCACAATTATCCATGTGCTCCCTAATTCTATTCTTTAATAGTTTCTATTATTTTTCCTGTTAGAGATGTCAGGCTTACTGGTCTGCATATCCCAGATTCAAGCCTATTAATAATTTTCGGAAGGTACTCACCACAGTTCAGGATTACCAGAAATCCTTACAAGGACTCTGAATTAAAACTATCAAGCTAATGATAATAGCCCTTAAAGACTAATTTCTGTATCCTCAACTTTAAAGCATGTATTTTCTTTTCACGTAGAATCATTTTGTATGCAATTAAAATTTTCACACAACTGACCAGTACGTGCCTTATTGAAACAGAGATTCAACCTCCAACCTAATCACACTGATGTTTAGGAATCTTTTGCTATAAAGCAGATGCTAAATATGAATTGACAAATGCAATAAATCATGTTTGATTTATGTGAAAGCTGTAACTACAGATTCTTACTGTTTAGGTAATACTCTCGTCCTTTTTTTTTTCCAGTGTCAGACTTCTAGACAAAACTTTTGGGCTGGCCAAGCCTATTTTGAAGATTCACCATAGAGCAAAGCATGAGTAGACCAGATAACACATCTCTGTAACCATACAGGAAAAATGCTCACCCATCATGTCTCTTCCATCTGAATTTCAGAGTAATCTGTTTTCTCGCACTTGTATTTCTTCTGAGAGAGCAATAAGTGCTTGCATTTCCCAGCAGTTTATCCTACCCTATCTCCCTCCCAAAGACATTCTATCTATCATCTCCACTAGGTAATTAAACAACAGAAAAAAATAAAGAAAAATAAAGTTGTCTGAATTTGACATTCTCCACTTCAGTGACTGTGTCAGCAGTCTCTCAGCAAAATTACAGTGTTTTATAGCTTATTAATTACTGTATCAGTATAAAAAAAGATTTGTTTTCAACTTAATCTATTTGCACATTTCTCATGTGGATAAGCATGGTAATTACATAAAAGCATGTTTATACAATTCATTTATTAATTATTTGATACTTGATAATTAGCTCATTCTAAAGAATTTAGAAGATACCATATTGGTCAATAAATGAATGTATACTGTTCGGATTGTTGCCCATTTTAGTTTTAAGGAAAATATCTACTATATTATTGTTTGAATTAGGAAAGATTTAGTACAATAGATATGCATTTGTTTGTTTGTTTTTAACATGAGGAGAAGAAAAAATAGTCATGATAGCCCTCTATTAAGAGAAAGTATTATTTCTATGTTGCCCAAACACTCAAGAATCTGAAGGAATTCTTAATGACCAGTCACTACTAGCAGATTGATTTTGGCCTAAAATATTTATAATAGATAAAGTTAGAACAGGAGATGTCACTCAAAAGTCTGAGAACGTATCAATGAGGTAGAATAAATACATATTTCTAAAGAATTATGGTTGCTCAAAAACTAATAATTACAGGATGAATATGTCAATTTATGCATCTCCATCAGCTTTGGAAACACATGAATTTTAATTGTGATTACTATCTTTTTGAATCCTCTGGTAACAGCCAAGTCACAGTTGCGAAGATTCTAACTTTGCCCTTTCTCCTGGCAACATAAACTTGCTAGAGAGACCTGATAACATTTAAAATAGAGAGAAACTACAGGAAGGGAAGTGCACCTTTGCAGCGCTCACAGCAAGCTCCTCTCTGCTTAATGACGAGAGCACAGTCCTTGGAAAGCACTGGGCACTTCTCTCTTTTGCATGTCACTTCCTTATTCTGGAAAAAAAGAATAGACAAAAGCTATTGTAAGTAAACCAAATGCAAATCTCAGTTTGTTGCAACTCAGTAAACAGAATGTGAGACCAGCAAGCTGCTCTCTTGCTTGAGAAGAGGTCTTTGTGATTCAAAAACAATCTTCTCCCCTTGAAGGACTGCAGTAGAAGACAGTCTCTAAATTACCCAGGAGCCCAAGTAAATGGTATTTAAACTTCACTTAGCCAGTAATTCATAACCGCTGCATATAACCATACAAAGAATGTGCTCCATTAAAGAAATCCACTTTACTTAAATAGCTAGCTAGCTACATGATGCACTTGTTAAAACATCCTCAGGGTCTTGAGGTGTTACCCCATGAACCTCACAGTTTAGGAATCACTTCTCATAGTGACAAAAGAGCAGATAGCTGAGGAAGAGGTGATAACCTCAAAGAAAACAAAACCCTCTTGCAGTGCTGAAAATCATTTTTGGCTAGTGATATTACCTAACTACGCAGAGGTCTCCCAGAAGAGATAACTACAATTCATCTCTTTGTCCCCCAAACGCTCAGAATCTACAAAATACAAGCAGGTAGAATCATTGCACGTTATAGTATCATTTTATATGGCAGAAAGCCAGTAATGATCAAGGCTGAAGACCACACTGATCATGTTAAGGAATATCAGTGCAAGAGTGTGACAATGGACGGAAGAAACATTTCATTTAGAGCCTGACTTTTCCCTCTCATGTCAACCATTCTTTTTAACCCTACCTTTGTACAAGAGTAGAAAAAAAATTTTTTGTTTTTAAAGTAAAATTTTGGTACTCGAAATTCCTTACTCAAAGTAGCCCTCTGAAGCGAGCTCCACCTATAATTAGTAGCTCAGTTCATTAAGTGACACAGGTGGCCATTTACTAGATGCAAGCACCCACCTCATCCAATCTTATGACTTAATTAGAGACCAAAAAAAATCAAAGGGCTAGAAAAATGTAAATCAGAAAACTAAAGGAAAAGAAACCGTGCTTTCCAGTCTTTTTCTTTTGCTCCCTGTGGCCTTACTCAAGGTGCCTGTGAAGGCTTTTATTACACCCCGGCCTCTTTGTCTAAAATCAGAGATTTATTTTCTTCAGAGTCACTGCCTGATCTGATGGGAGCTATAAAAGCACTTCAATCTTATCAGCATAAACGAGGAATAACTCTAGCCAAGTCAGTGTGAAATCAGTAAATGAGAATCAGGCCCTAAAGTTCTCAGCTGAACTGCAGCTGCAGCGACACAAATGACTACTGTAAAAAGACAGGTCACTGCTAGTTACTGGTATACGCTGGCTGCTTTTCATCACTCCAGCATTGCAAAGCAATCATAAATGCAATTTAACTGGCTAGTTAAGCTGAATTTATGACAGTTCTGAAGTTCTGGATTGGCACAAAGAAGTCGGAGTAGAGCAGTGAAACTGGCTCAACAACTTTTTAGAGCTCAGGATGAAATTCTGATTTCCTTTATGTGAACATAGTGCCCGTGACTTTGCCTCATTTCAGCCTTACTCAGACATGTTAAAAGGCATCAAAATCAAGTTTACCAAGTCTACCAAAAATCCAAGTCTGTATTTTAAAGGATTCTGCTAAGGTTTGATTCTTTTTAATGACAGTTTGCTCAAGAAAAGATTTAATATTGCCTAGTGGCCCTACTAACTGTAACAGTGGGAAAATCTTTAGCACAGTGAAATGGGTTTGAAGGAAGGGCAAAATCCAGGAGAATATGTTCCTTTGGAGAACATGATTTACCTAAGACACAAGGGATTTGTGGCATACAGTGCCCTTTTATTTACAACCTACCCATGTAGGTTCTGTTACTGCAGGCTCAGTAGGCAGCTACCCTTCAGACCCCTTCTTCGAAGGAAGAAATCATTATTGCAGATGGCAAGGAGAAGGGAGAGAACACAGTTCTGTATTTCCTTTTGTTCCCTGACCCCCAGGGCACTCCTGAGGCAAATGTCTAACACAGCCCTACTTCCTAGTAACCTTCTCCCACTTTCTCCCAAGCACAGGCTGCCTCTCTCCGCCCTCAGATACCTGCTGGCTCTGTGGGAAGGACTTTATCAGCGTGGCCAACTGGTTGTTCCATGTCAGTGGTACAAAATAACCCTAAGGATAACTCTGACACATGTATTTCAAACAAGAGGTATCTGGCTTTGGACTAAAAGTCTCCTTTTTGGCCCAGGTCACTTAAATCAGACATCTTCTCTGCCAATGACAATTTTGGTACTACTGAACCAACCCAGAAAGGAGGAGAGGGAGCCAACCAAATTCAGATCTTATTCTTCCTCATGTTTCACCAGCAACCCTGGTAGCCAAATCCCAGTCTCAGGACATTACAGGTGAGGATGGAAGTAGCAGAAAAGAAAGAAAAATCAAAACTGAGAATGGTCTATAGCCTCGTGGCTGGGAGGTTCTCCTAGGAGGGAAGATTTTGGAGCTCACATCCCAGCGCCAAGGGCTTTTTTACATTAAGCAGCTGCTTCATGTAAAGTACATTAGCAGACCACAGTGCAGTGGCCTGGAATTGAAGGGTCCTCCCCCTTGGAGAGCATCTTAAGCAGCAGGCTATGGATTCACATTTCCTTTCTTTATCCCAGCAGACCTTGAACTACTTGCTGCTTGGTGGCCCAGCTTCAGCAGAGGAGGGGCTTGTTCCTCACAGTCCCAAAAGCCACCAGTCCTGACCAAGAGGACTCTTGTGGGGAAAGTGGGAGATGGATCTTGGATTTGCATCTGGAAATGGGGGGCACCGAACGAAGATCTCCGTCTCAGAGGTGAGTGTACCAGTCACTACCAGCGTGGCGCTAAAAGGCAGGGGAGGAGATGCTACACTTACACATTTACACCACTTTTTTTTCCTTTTTTTTTTTTTTTTTTGAGGATGGAAGTAGCAGAAAAGAAAGAAAAATCAAAACTGAGAATGGTCTATAGCCTCGTGGCTGGGAGGTTCTCCTAGGAGGGAAGATTTTGGAGCTCACATCCCAGCGCCAAGGGCTTTTTTACATTAAGCAGCTGCTTCATGTAAAGTACATTAGCAGACCACAGTGCAGTGGCCTGGAATTGAAGGGTCCTCCCCCTTGGAGAGCATCTTAAGCAGCAGGCTATGGATTCACATTTCCTTTCTTTATCCCAGCAGACCTTGAACTACTTGCTGCTTGGTGGCCCAGCTTCAGCAGAGGAGGGGCTTGTTCCTCACAGTCCCAAAAGCCACCAGTCCTGACCAAGAGGACTCTTGTGGGGAAAGTGGGAGATGGATCTTGGATTTGCATCTGGAAATGGGGGGCACCGAACGAAGATCTCCGTCTCAGAGGTGAGTGTACCAGTCACTACCAGCGTGGCGCTAAAAGGCAGGGGAGGAGATGCTACACTTACACATTTACACCACTTTCTTTTCCTTTTTTTTTTTTTTTTTTTTGAAAAGAGCACCAGCAGCTCCCAGAAGGAGCTCCAGCACCAGAAGGAGAAGCTGCAGCCTCTTGCTGCAGGAACAGGTCTGTGCATCCCAGGTAAATGAAGGTAATTCTTTAATATCATGACTAGAGCGTCTAAGCCCTGACAAGGGATGGGATTTACAAAGCCGATGTCCTACTGTCCTCATCTCTAGCTGGTCTTATAGGTGAGCCCCAGAAGGTGAATCTTAATGCACATAACTCTCCATGCATGTGAGACGCGGGGCCTGAGCTGCTCTTCCAGGGGTCTAGATGTGAGGTACTGCGATGCTCAGAGATGCAGCCCCTATGGCTCTTCTGGGGGTATTTTTGCTCACCAAACATACACTAGAGCCACAATTAAGACATATTCCTGCAGTATAGTGTAATGCCAAAATCTCTGTTGTAGTAAGCACAGATGAGTGTAACTCCCTGGAAGTACAGTTTCTCTCGGTTCCTCTAAGACTGAATTTAATCCTTAAATTCTTTCTGAAAATCCTGTTCTTTTATCTCAGTTCTGTGTCTTGTGGAAAATTAGGCCAGAAGATGTGGAGGAAAGGGTTAATACTATGCGATCAATCATATGACAGGAGCAGATAAAGCAGGACTGGTAAATCATTGTTTAGTCTATTGCAGTCAGGCATTATCCAGTGCAGATCTCCTAGGCCCATGGGGTGTAAAAGTACGAAGATAAAACAAGGAGCAATTGTCACCAGGAGTTTTTTTTTTCACCCCATAGTCCATAATACTGCTCTTAACATGTACTATCAGTTTGCTTGTTCCAGTTTTGTTGCCTCCTTCCCTCCCATTTCACAAGGCAAAGCGGAGTGTGAGAGTAAACGGACTTTAACAACAAATCCTTCCTTCCAAAAAGTCCCCTCCTACCCCCAGTAATCATAACATTTCATTACTTGTCCCAACTATACATTTAAAAAGTTGTTAAGTAGCTGCATGCAGGAGAGCTGTATTACCAAACCTCCATCTGTGTTGTCAACAGTGTCTCAGGAGCTGTTGAAAGCTCTCAGATACTTTGATTTTTGCTGTTCTTAAGAGAAAACTTCTTAGACGGCAACATTCAGAAGCCAACAGTTATGGGAGGGTAGGGGATTTTTTCCTTTTGTTTAAAGGACGTGCACTCTGGCACTGAGGAGTGCGGAAGAGACACATGGCTCATAAATACATAAACCATTTGCTAAATCAGAAACCTGGGAGTCAGTCAAAATCCATAATAGGATCCCAAGATTCATAATAAATAACATTTAATTATAGTCCTGCACAATAGTTATTTTAAACAGATGGTTTATAGATTCACATCTGGGATTTTTTTTTTTTTTTAATTTAGTGCTCCGGCACACACGCAGAAAGCGAGAGAACATCGCAAGACCTCAGCTCAGTTTTTTGTTAGTGTTGGAAAAACACGTATTTTTTAAAAGAGGTCAAGCTGATCCAGAACAAGGCTGCCACATCTGACGCAACTCCCCAGCGAATGCTCGGTAAAGGGTTCATGCTGGAATCTCAGACTCCCTTGGAAAGAAAAATTTAGGTAAGTGCTAGAG